CCCATCAGGGTGAGGGGATTTTTCAGCCCTTACCCCCGTTAGCCTCCTTAGCGCTTATACTTATTGATAGTTCTACTGTTTATTTCTTCTCCTTTTGCCCCTTGACTATTTCATAATTTTGGAATCTATTAATGTCCTCTACTGTGAAGATTGGTGCAAAGTATTTATTCTTTTCCTCTAAGTTATTTCCTGGCTCCACATTATTATTTCCCCAGCTTCATGCGCTGAGGGACCGATGTTCGCTTTGACTTCTCTCTTCAATTTTGAATATTGAAAAAAAACTCTTGTTATCTATCTTAATATTACTTGCAAGCTTGCCTTATTTTTGGTCTTTTTTTGTTGGTTTATAAAACTTACCACTAATCTTTGTCGTATTTGTAAGTTTTCTTTCAATTTGATGTTATCCTTAACCTCCATAGTTAGCCATTGTTGGCTTATCACTCTCGCTAGAATCCTTCCTAGCTTGAATATATCTTTGTTTTGACTAATTCTTTACTAATGTTCAGGCTTTGGAAGAGTATATAGTTTGGCATAGGGCAGCCGATGGAGCAATAGTAAATGTGTGGTACTGATTCGACATAAGTGCAAACAATGGAGTTCATTATCTTCTCTTTGAATATTTGGGTGTGGATGCCAGAATTTATTAATCACCAATTTTTATTTATAAAATAGTTGAATATTTAGAAGTGAAATCAATGTCAAATTTGTCAATTATTCTGGATGTCCTTTGCAGTTGTGGACATAATATTACACTAACTGAGAAAAGATGTTCTGGCAATGAAGGGAGTGCAACAACGGTTTATCAGATTGATCCTACCACCCCAGTAATCAATGGATTCACAACACAGTGATCCTAAAACGCACAAAGACCCTCAACATTGTTCAATTGTTCCTCACCAAACTCCGCAAATAAAAACACATAGACACCAAGTTTATAATTTAGACAAAGATTAACAATTTGTTGAGAATATAACTTTAGCAGAACGCAGATAAACTGCAAGGCAATCTAATTAATATCTAAGATTCTAAGCTCAATCTTCTTTGAATATAACTTGCACATCCCCTGATGTGCACACACTAACACAGGCAAGCAGACATAGTTAAGGAATAAATTAGAGAAAATAAATCATAATTTGTCAGTTCAGTAACAGTTTAAACAATGAATACGAGGCCTTCATGGAATCCTTTAATGGGTTATGTTACAGGCACAGTGGGCTGTGCGTCTTGTGTGAATTCCGAAGTCACTGGTCAATGCCAACAGCTTCTGCAGACCCATGGAGACTTTTTACTTGTTTCTTACAGACTGGGCTCTTTCATCAAGTCGATTACTGGAGAATAACTAGAGAGGGCAACACTAATAACGCCTTTCCGGTCCGGCAATCTCAAAAGCAAAACTGCCTCCTGCCCAAAATCCAGTCGGGACCAGTTCTTTTTTATTTCCTTTTTCAACATTTTCTGTCGTTGGCTGGCCAGCACAAGTCCTCTCTGGATTGACCAATTTAACATGCAACCAGCTGCCAGTCCCTGAGCAGAGCAGCATCTCTGTGCAGAATCATCTACAGAATTCTTCGAGCAGTAAATTATCTATATTATCTTTCTAGGCCAGTTCCCAAAAGCAAATGTCAGTCTCCTGTTCTCGCTTTCTTTAAAAAAATAAGCTACTATTCCAGCTAAATTGTCAACTACAACCCAGTTCCAAACCAAAAATGAGAAAAAAAATGATGATTTCAACATGCCTCCATCCTCAAAAGAATGAAACAGTCTTTGAATAATTCATTTCATGGCAAGGTTAGTAACACTTAAATGACAAAAGACACAAAACTTATAGCAGTTCAGTTCTTCCTCACACTCGAATCTTAATCAGCATACAACTTTCTTGGTTACATTCTTAAGTTTTCAACGTGCAATTTTTGTTGAATTGTGGTTGGGACGTTCTCAAATCCAAATGGTATAAATCAACATTGGCACAGTCCATTGGGTGTGACAGAAGACGAAATTTGTTTTGCACTTGTTGTCAACAGTACCTGCCAGTATCCTTTTAACAAATCAATTTTAGATAAGGATGATGCACCACCAATGCTAGCGTTGCAATCTTCTAGCTAGGAATAAGATATGATTCTGTCTTTGTAATTGGATTCACTTTCCTATAGGCTGCGCATGATCTAGGTGAACCATCTGACTTAGGAGCCAGTACTATTGGAGAATGCCAATTACAATGGCTTGGTTTGAGTAATTGATGCTTTAAAGTACATTGCATATCTTTTGTTCCTTGGGCCTCTGTGTTTAACTAACATAGGTTTTGTTTTATGGGGTCTGAATTACAGACATCAGCATCATGTTTGGTTAATATAGTACACCCAAATGTATCTTTGCAAACTTCTTTGTGTCTCCTGAACAGTCTTGCTTTATCCCTGTGTTGATCTTTGCCTAGGCATGAAAACAGCATTTAAATTCTCTAATATCGTCAAATTTGTTAGTCAAATAGTATGAAGTTCACTTTGGGAATTGGTCATTTCTCCTTTGCCCTCATCCTTTCTCTGTTCTCCTTGACTACACCTACTATTTGACACACCTGTGCTTCCTCATCATCTTCTCTATGATAGTACCACTTTAACATGTTCACCTGACTTATCAATTCTTTTATGATCAGGGCTATCAATTATCGATATCACTTTACTAATTTTTTAAACTATTTTGTAGAGACCACAGAACTTCACTTTTAGTGGCTCACCTTGTAAAGACAGTGCAAAAACTTCATCTCCAGCTTTGAAATTTCTAGTTGTCACATGTTTACCTGCCCACTCTTCCACTGTGTTTTGAGCTGTTCCTGCGCTCCTTTACACTCTTATCAACCTCTTTAAAAATGTGGACATGTACTCAAACATTGAAAATTCATTTTTCTGGCATGACAATTTATCTCTAATCAATTTTAATGGTCCTGCCTAATTCACTAGTACATGACTGAATGGTTCCTCAAACACTATTATAGGAACCGGGGATAGTAGGAACTGCAGATGCTGGAGAATCCGAGACAACAAGGTGCAAAGCTGGATGAACACAGCAGGCCAAGCAGCATCCTAGGAGCAGAAAGGCTGACGTTTCGGGCCTAGACCCTTCATCTTGTATAATTGAACTGGAAATGTATTTGCCACCAATCCCATTTATTAGTACCTTCACTTCCATCGAACTATCTGGAGGGAAAACTAAGCCTTTTGCTAATAAGAGTGATTTATGTTGCCCCTGTATCTCTTCGTATGGTTATGAGTTTAGCTGTGTCACTTGAAGATAAAGGAGTAGCTTTTCCTTTCAATAAAAACACTGTATAACTCTCATCTATCTTAAATATTTCTTTGTTAGTAACTCAATTCACCTCCGGCCTAATTGCTATAATCAGAGCTACAGTCTGGATCACGGTGTTATCTTTTTGAGTTGTCTTCTACGATTCATTTTGACTAAGTCTTACAAGTCCCATGGGTTTACCTCACAACTTCCAACATTCCCAATTTGTTGCAAAAGAAATATTTGTGGTTGGCTGGCCAGCACTGCATCTTCCTTGATTGACCAATTCAGTATCCAGCCAGCTGCCTGTCTCTGAGATTAACCATATCTTGATGCCAAATTGTCTCCATTGTTCTTAGATCAGTAATTGACCCGCTTTATTTTTCTATCCAGTCGGCAAGAACAAGCAACAATCTTTCGTTCTTTTGTTTAAAACAAGGTGCTGTTCAAAGTTCAGTTGTCAACTGAAACTCTCAGTTCCAAACCAAATATAAGAAAAAGAAAAGAAAAAATAATGGTGGCCTCAACATAATTTTTGGCTCTAAAGGGAGCAAAAGGTATGGGGAGAAATGCAGGAACAGGGTGCTGAGCTAGATGATTAGCTATGGTTGTGTTGAATGACAGAGCTGTATTGAAGAGCCAAATAGCCTACTCTTGCTCATATTTTCTATGTAAATAACAACATTGCAGGATGGGTAAGTAGAATCATTGGTGGCAAGTCAATGTTTGAGGTCATTTGTTTGGTAGCAAAAGTAGGTGCTCCATATCTTTCTTCTCTTTCCTTCATCATGGCTCCATTTAATTCCATTCAGCCCCATGAAAGGGACAAAAAAAAACAGATTACAGCATAAAATTATTGACCCAAATTTGAAGTTTTAGTAATAATTAGTAATAATGAGCTGTAAATGCTCACTGTTAATACTGTGTAAATCTCTCAGGAGCTATTGCAATCTGAATACCTGCAATTAAACAGGAAAATCCAGATATTTCTGTGAAGTATGCCTTGCTTCAAAGTGTGCGCTTTTGCAGTACTTGCAAATGGAATCAATTCAAACTCACCAATTTGTCAATTTCCAACTATAGCTACAATTTTCAAAGTAAGAAGCAACAAAATGTTAATTCTTGTTCAATTAAGGTTAGCTGCGTACCAAGTTATAATAATTGCCAAGCACCCACTTTGGTCACGTAAAGCTAATTTTACATGCGTATAGTCTCCCTCGTTTTACATTTAAGTGAATTTTAATTCAGTTAATTTAATTAAGTTAATTTTTTGAAAGTTTTTGTTTTGAAATTTATTTCTCCCTTAATCCCATGTGGATGTCCCAACTTTATTTTGCTTTCAGGTCAATTATTCAAATGTGATTTACATTCTCTACCTTTTACTTTTTTTGTGTCTGTGAGAATTCTTCAATTAGACTAATCAATCTGCTGCCTGTCCAGTTATCACAGTCACACTATAGAATAGCAAAAATTAAAAGAGATTGAGGTGGGATGTCTATGCTCCAGTACTACCCGAGTCTTTACAAGTAGCTTTTCTTGAAATCAGCAGCAAACACCACACTCTAGCCAACTGCAAAATCTGTTAACAACTTCAATTGTATTAAAGAACAGCATTTACCTGTTAACAATTTTAATTGTATTAAAGAACAGTATTTACCTGTTCATTGCTCTGTACTACTTTATTCCTGTATGCTTAGCAGATGTCATTTCTTCTTATTCAGGTAGTGAAGACTTCTCAAGTAAAAACCAGTTCAGAAGATGAGTCTTCGTTACTTGGGCTATCAAAAAACAATAAAAAGAAAAACAACGATAAAGATACAGGAACTTTAAAGGAAGCTTTGGCATCTCAAAAGTTACATTTGGTCGAACAACTTCTAAATTCAGGTAAGAAAATAACTGCATTTTTCTACTTTTTGTTCATTTTAATGTATTGTTATCCTGCTATGCATGCTAGACTCCTGATATTGAAAGAAACATGTTTGACTAGCATGTGGAAAATAAGTGTTATTTTCCGTACCCAGTGCTGTAGTGCTCTGTGTATCATTAACAGAAAAACATCTAAAGGCAGCAAAGGAGGACTGGTTGTCAAATGAGAGCACTGTCTATATCCCATAGTGCCAACAACTTGAATGTTGCCTATAGTGTAATTAAAAACCATCCTTCTCCGCTTTGCTGTTCAGGGCAGGGAAGGGTGAATCCCTCATTACCCAAAAGCTGTGAAGCGTGCAACGCATAACTATAGTCTGGTTATTTTTGAAGAGAATACCCATTGTCAATCAGTAACCAGACTGCATGGAGAGCTGCAGTATGAATGAATCATTACTTTTGCTTGGACATGCGTGATGTGCTGTTTGTGGGTACAGTCAAGATGGGCATTGAAACAGTAGAATTAATCTCAGTTCAGAAAGATGATGAGAGGATGCAAAATGATTTCTGTGCAGTGATGGAACCCTATACCTTTTGTGCCAACTTGCAATGCGGACAAATCAGAGTGCTTCTCATGCAACATTGAATAACAAACTGGAAAATGTTGATGTTACCAGCTTGAAGCCTGGAATGACCTTATGGCAGACATGTGCCCTTGATCACCACAGTGTCGTCATGCCTTTATTCAAGCCTGTGGTGTAGTTTTGGCAGTAGCCTCATTGATGAAATGGTATTTGAAAAATTAACTGTGTGAAAATAAAGCAGTAATGTCTCCCACTGCGGCTGTTGCATCCTACAGCAGATTCTCTGCTCAATCTCGTTTTGGTTGATATTTATAAATTTTCAACTCCACTGGCAGACTTGCCATGACAGCAGTTACATTTTTTTAAAGCAGACAAAGCAGTGCAGCACCATCAAAATGTTGCACAAGTCACAAAGCAGTTATGGAAAACAAAAGAAAAGCATAAGAAAAATGACAATCTTGTCTTTAGACTAATGTTACTGATCACTGCCAAGTGGTCTTCAATAATCTTTACATTTTTTATTTGTGGTTTGAGTCCTTTATGTGATAGACCAATAGATTTGTTTCTCAAAGGCTAATTTGACTTTGCATTGCAAATGGCATTAAATTTGATTATTTCTGATTATAGCTAGTCATGGTGTTGATCAAGGTGCCATGGGTAAGAAAGGAATAGATAAGTTAAGTAGTCAGGAATTCCTATACAGTTTTGAAATGGCTGGACAGGATTTATGCATGGACAATGTTCACTGTCTGACACTCAACTTTAAAATCAGCAAACAAATTGAGTTCATTCGGAAAAACTATAAAAACAGTTTTGTCTTTTGCACTTCCATGGACAGGTTGAAAACATTTGTGTTTTGTACCACCTTCAGTAGGTGCTACGTCTTACTGCTACTGTGAAAAACAAACAGTATAGGTAACCTTGTTTGGAAATTCAAAATGATAAAATTATCTGGGGTAACAGAGATTAATGTTCTTCAGAAATGACATTGGTATGCAGTTTAAACACGGATATAAATCAGAGAATAAATAATGTCCATTGTTCTCCCAGGACGTGATGTCTGAAGTCATGTTGTGCACTCAGTCGTGCTGTGAATCCTGGGAGCTAGAGGACTTGCCTGTGATTGCTAACCTTCCTAACAAATTAGGCAAATATCCATTCAGTTCTTAAGATATAACCCAATAATATCAAATAGGCAATGCGTCCTGTTTGTTTTGAAGTTAAGTAAAAGTGAAACTAAGAAACTTGCAACTTTCTTTTAATCATATGTTGCTACCTAGTAGTAATCAAATATTTATGTTTAAATAGAAATATTTAAAACCTGGAATTATGTTCTTTATCTCTCTCCTGTTGGGACCATCACAGTTTTTCTTTACTCTTCTAATTTCTGATTTCAAACTGTGAACTGAAGTTGAGAGTTAATTTTTGATCTTTGAGTGGCAGGTTGTCCTAAACAAACAATCTGATATTTGTTTATGGGAACTGGCCTGGAAAGTTAATTGAAGGTTGATTATTGTTCCAAGATACACATTTCCTCAACTGAGATGTATTGTGCTCGCGGACTGGCAGCTGCTTGCATGTTAAAAAGGGCAATCAAAGGGAGCCAGAACTAACCATTCAAACAAAGAGGATGTTGAGAAAAAACAGAAAGGGAAACCAAGAATTGACTGTTTGACCAAGTTGCATTTGTCATGTTTTTTTGTGTACAGGACGTATCCGGGCAATTTTCCACATTGCTGGGTGGATGTCAGTATTAACTGTATTGGAAAAGCTTGGCTTGGTGCTAAACTTATTTTGGCATACAACTCTTTGGATTTATTGCCAGAATTTTGTCAGGGCCCATAAACTTTGCAGTATCCAGTGTCTTCAGCCATTTTTTTTGATATCAAGTGAAGTGAATCAAATTAGCCAAAGATTGGCATCCACCGTTACCTATAATATATTATTTCCTCTGCACAGACTTCTGAGCGCTGTGCATGGCAGTGTCTTCACAAATGGAAGCCAATCTGTTGATATGCTCATCACAGTGCATGGAACCTTCCAGCAGCTGTTCCATCATGTAGTTTAGAGGGAATGTCGCTGGTATGTGATGCTGGTGACCTCAGAGGTCGAGATTGATCATGTACTCAGCGATTCTGGCTGAAGATGCTTCAGTTGTACCTGATGTTTTGGGCTCCCATCATTGAAGATGAGAATTTTTCTGGAGCCATCTCCTGTTAGTTGTTTAATTGCCCACCAGCATTTATGACTGGATATGATAGATTGTGGTGCACAGATCTGATCTGTTGGTTGTGGATTCGCTTAGTCTGTCTATTATTGCTGTTCCTCGTGTTGCTGTTGACATACACTCATGCATTTTTCACTGAACCAAGGTTGGTCTTCCAGCTTGATAGTGGAGTGGAGGATATGCTGGGTCATGATGTTCCAGATTAGGATGGAATACAATTCTGCTGCTGATGGCCCACAATCCTCCTTGGATGCCCAGATTTAAGTGGTTAGATCTCTTCATAGTCTATTCTAATTTGCATGTGATAGTCCTACTCAACACAATGGAGGGTGTATTCAATATGACGACTGGACTTTTTCGTGTAAGGAAATCATTCCAGTATTCTGAGAATGGATCTTTCAGGCTACATTTGACAGTTTTGAAAGTTAGTTAGGTTCAATTTTGACCGCCACAGGACAGGGACTTATTCCAATGTTTTCAGTGGACTATCCTGGATAGTTCAGGAATCACCAAAGAGTCATAGAGTACTACAGTACGGAAACAGAACCTTCGGTCCAACCAGTCCATGCTGACATAATCCCAAATTAAAGTAGTCCCACCTGACTGCTCCTGGCCCATATCCCTCCAAACCTTTCCGATTTCATGTACTTATCCAAATGTCTTTTAAATGTAATTGTTCCTACATCCACCACTTCCTCAGGAAGTTTAGCCACCCTGTCTGTATATGATGCAATCTTCAAAGAATTATGTACCTGAACCCCTAGGTCCCTGTGTTCTACAACACTACCTAGGGCCCTACCATTAATTGTGTGAACCCTAACTTTGTTTGTTGTACCAAAATGGAATACCTCGCATTTATCCAGATTGAATTCCATCTGCCATTTTCAGCCCATTGACTCATTTGATCAAGACCCCATTGTACTCTTAGAAAATCTTCTTCACTGTCTACTAAGCCACCAATTTTGGTATCGTCCTCACACTAATTAACCATGCCTTCTATATTCTCATTCAAATCATTAATATAAATGACAAACAAAAGAGGGCCCAGAACCGATCCCTGTGGAACACTGCTGGTGACAGGCCTCCAGTCCTAAAAGCAACTCACCAACACTCATTAAGATGAGTGGTAGAGCAAAGTGTGCAGAAGACACTGAAAGTCTGCAGAGGGATATTGATAGTCTAAGTGAGTGGGCGAAGGTCTGGCAGATGGAGTACGATGTTGATAAGTGTGAGGTCATCCATTTTGGTAGGAATAACAGCAAAATGCACTATGTTTTAAATGGTGAAAAATTGCAGCACGCTGCTGTGCAGAGGGACTTGGGTGTCCTTGTACATGAATCGCTAAAAGTAGGATTGCAGGTGCAGCAGGTAATTAAAAAGGCAAATGGAATTTTGTCTGCCATTGCTAGAGGGATGGAGTTTAAAAACAGGGAGGCTATGCTGCAGCTGTATAGGTTCCTGGTGAAGCCATACCTGGAGTACTGTGTGCAGTTTTGATCTCTTTACTTGAGGAGAGATATACTAGCACTGGAGGGGGTGCAGAGGAGATTCACTCGGTTGATTCCAGAGTTGAGAGGGTTAGATTATGAGGAGAGACTGACCAGACTGGGATTATACTCATTGGAATTCAGAAGAATGAGGGGAGATCTTATAGAAACATATAAGATTATGAAGGGAATAGATAAGGTGGAGGCAGTGAGGTTGTTTCCGCTAGCAGGTGAAACTAGGACTAGAGGGCATCGCCTCAAAATAAAGGGAAGCAGATGTAGGACTGAGGTCAGGAGGAACTTCTTCACCCAAAGGGTTGTGAATCTGTGGAATTCCCTGCCCACTGAAGCGGTTGAAGCTACCTCGCTCAATGTTTTTAAGGCAGTTTTTGAACAGTAAAGGAATTAAGGGTTATAGTGAGTGGGCGGGTAAGTGGAGCTGAGTCTCAAAAAGATCAGCCATGATCTTATTAAGTGGTGGGGCAGGTTCGAGGGGCCAGCTGGCCTACTCCTGCTCCTAGTTCTTATGTTCTTATGTTTATGTTCCACCACTCTCTGTCTCCTGCCATTTGAGCCAAGTTAAAGCTTACAGGCAGTTGGGAAGCTCGTGAGTATGAGAGAGGGAGAGAGATGTAGACTCTATGTTAGGAGAGCTGCAATTAACTATACTGCTGAGAAGACGGCTAAAATATATATATTTCATGTAGTGGTCTTAATGAGGAGTCAGGTGCAACTGGATGGATCCCAGACTGATATGTTAAAATGTAGTTCACTATTGAAGTAGCTAATAATTGAAATGTGATGGTTGATTCTAAGATTAGCCAGGACTTCTTGAACTTTTAGTCGTTTTGAGTTGATGAAATAGCACAGCTTATGTTAAGCTTTTTATTGTCTCTGGTGAACATCCTGTTCTGACAAGTAGCCAGATTTGGTGTGTTGACTTTTGGGGAAATTTTGAACTTTAGCTCTCAATTGTAAGATTCTTAAGTGTACTTATTTTTAAATTGTTTTCTGTAGTAGATAGGATGAATAAGTTAATGTCGTTGTCTTACTAATAATGCAGTTGTCTATTAGTTGAGTATTTGGCAAGGGAACGAAGTAGTTTTTGTTGTCCTAATGTAAACTAAATAAACATTGAAGCTTATCGCTGTTTCACATTAGCACTGCACCGTACTGTAATTTTAAATTGTATGATTATGCCAATGACTATTGAAATATTTAAATGTTGGGAAGTTCCTGTTAAACTGAATAATACATGGTTGGTTGACATCTAATAGATGCAAGATAACAATAAAATTTCAGTTCTCCATTGATCTTTACTTGCAAACTTGTAAGATATTCTAAAAGGCACGTAACCCCTCCAGCATGAAGAAACATTTCTTGGAACGTAAATATTAGACATGCAAGATGATTCTAGAAGCCATTTTATTTTGTGTACATAATTTTTTTTTTGTAAAAATACAACAAATTACTATTCTAACATTCAGTTTTTTTTTACAGGCCTAGATGTTGAAACACGTTTTGGTTTTGGTTGGACGCCGTTGATGTATGCTGCAAGTATAGCAAACTTTGAAATTACTCGTCTCCTTCTCAATAGAGGTGCTAATGCAAGTTTTGCAAATGGTAAATTTGTATTTTAAAAGTACCAACTCTCTTCCATTTTCTTTGCTGTAATACTGTGCACCACCTCCATCAAATAACCCAAAGGCATAGAGATAATCAACAGAAAAGATGGGAAACTGTTCAACCTACACTATCTTCAATCCACATGCAAAATCACTCTGTGTGCAAATGATACCTGCACGCAATCACTCAGGGACCAAGTTCTGGGTTATTATCGGATATAACAAGGTGTAGAGCTGGATGAACACAGCAGGCCAAGCAGCATCAGAGGAGCAGGAAAGATGACGTTTCGGGTCTGGA